TGGCACCCTCTATAGGGTGGGCCTTGAGCAGTCTCATAGCACAAGAAGTATGTGGGCCACAGGGGCTATCTGGGGACTAGATTGAGCCAAACCAAAGAGGATGCTGGCCACACAAGTCGGTTCTCCAGGTGTTAGTGTGGGGAAAAGACTCGCCCTGCATCCCTGGACAGCTCTGGGAAGATCAAGTGGGCAGAATGGGGTGGCTGCAGACTCACAAAGGGAAGGATAGTACTTGGCCTTTCACTCGTGCCTCTATGGAGAGACATGGGAGTTAGGGGCTCAAGTAGAGTCTGAATGGATCTGGATGGTGGCCTCTTAGGGACATCCTTCAGGAAATATATAGCCCAACCACATATGTCCTGGGGAATGCAGTTGTGCGAGGCAAGCCAGCTAATCTAACCTGCACACATGCTGCTCACACAGCCCAAACCAGGAACGGCATGAAGGGAGCCAGCCAGATGCCCCATGGGGAAGTTTGCAAGAAATGACCCCACCAGAGATGCTGGGCTTTGACAGGCCCTCACCTTGGCCATTGTCTTGGCTATGTTTCTCTCATTGCTGAGACAAAATACCTGATTTATTTAGCTCACAGTTTGTGGAGGTTTTAGCTCCTACTTGGCTGACTCCAAGGCAGGATGGCATGGCACAGGGCAACAGTTCAAGGCAGTAGAATACAGTAAAGCAACAAGAGCAAAAGAGGGGAGAGCAAGCCTCTTTTCCTACCTTATGTTGTATGCCGGCTATTCCCCCAAGCTGTCTCCCTGCCCTTCTCTTCCACAAGCTCAGGATGTTTACAAAGTAAGGACCCTGGCCACCTGCTGGGTTAAACTTCTAAACTTTTCAAGGTGACATAGTGTATCAACCATTACAATTCACCCCTTGTCAACTTGGCAACCACACACGTATTTAACCCAGTTTCCAGATACAAAGACATACTTATTCTTATCATTTCACAACTTGAAAATTTTAACACAGGCTTAACAATCCTTAACCAGTATTAAATCTATCAATATTATATTAAATTAGAATCACAGCATTCTGCCCCTGGACCCCCAAAGACTCATCCCCATCCATTTATGCAAAAGGCATTTAGTCTATCTCTAAGAGTTGCCAAAGTCCTAACAGTTTCAGCATTGCTGAAAAGTCCAAGTGCCAAGTCTCCTTTGAGATTTAAGGCAAACTCTTAGCTGCAAGCCCTTGTACAAATGAAAACAAAGTTAAACACTTCCAACATTCAATGGTACAAGATAAACATCTTCATTCCAAAATTTATAAACAGGGTGCTACAAAGGACTGAGACCAAAGCAAGCCCAAAATCCAGCAGGATAAACATTAAGTCCTGTAGTTCCATTTCCAACATCTGAGGCAATCTGTGGTACATTGTGAGCTCCAAAAGCTTGTGTGGCTCCACTTCTATGCACTTCTGGTGGTTGTAGTTCCTATGGATTCTCTCTTAGGTCCACTTTCTTCCTTCCTTGCAGTTTTCTTTAGATGATCCATGTTTCTAGCTTTTCCAAACTTCCAGGGTCCTCACTGCACCTTTAGCTTCATACTCACAGCTTCATACAGTTCCCTCTCAGGAGCACACAACCTGGTATCCCAGGCCTTCTGAAATGAGAAGGGAAGCCTTCTTAACCCCACAACTCTTGTATTCTTCATGCACCTAAAAACAGTTCCATGTGGATGATGTCAAGGTCTGCTGCCAGCTGGAGTAGCAACCAGGCTTTTCCCTCTCTTGGCCATAAGGGTTGAGTGCCTGGATAGCTGTGCATTCTTAATAAAATTCTGAGGAACCAATTTTCTATGCTGTCACCATCCTGGAATGGTGCTGTAGCCACCACCATTCTGAAATATGGTGCTCTGTAGCTTCTCCTGAAAGCAAAGTTTTTCAGGTTCACAGGTTTAAGGCTGCAAAGGGTGGAGATTTGCTGCTTCTTGTGATGCCATCAGGCCATCTTTATATTCTTGTGTTCCTTCTCAACAATGGTGAGCTCCTCAGCTCTATCTTTGTAATCCACAGCTTTACTGCACCTTCCTTTCTGGGAAAATTCACAACATTTAAAATTATTCTACTGGGCTCTCTGCTCCTGATTCTTAATATAGATCTGGCTAAAAGCCCCCAACAGTAGCTATGCTACTGCCTCAAGGTTTGACTGCTTTGAAATTTCTTTTGCCAATTTAATTAGCCCACCACCTTAATCTCAGTCTTAGACAAAATCTCTGGACACAAACAAAATGCAGACAAATTTTCTGCCAAGTCATAACACACATCATCTGGAGTCTAGCAGCCAATGTAGTTCTTCTCAGAAGAAACCTGCCAACCCTGGTCTTTACCAGCAGGACTTCTATCAGCCTTGTGGTCTTCTGAGCTTTGACAAGAATGTCTCATACAAAACAGCCTAAAGTGTTCCAGCACTATTCTTCAGGAAACATCTCGGAACCTTTCCAAACACTTCCCACAAGCCATTCCCAAAGGCTCTTGAACCACATGGTCAGGTAAAGTCACAGCAACAACCTCACTTTCCTGTACCAACTTCTATCTTGGTAGAAGACAGCAAAAGCAACAAAAGCAAAAGAGCAGGGAGCAAACCTATTTTTCCTCCCTTATATTGTATGCTGGCTATCTTCCCATGCTATATATCTGTGTGCTCCTCTTCCACAAGCTCAGGATATTTACAAAGTAAGGATCCTGGCCCCTGTTAAGTTAAACTTTTAAACTACTCAAGTTGACACAAGGTATCAACCACTACACACAGCTGGGGTCCTCTAGACACAACATTTCAAAGGATCCTGAGCCTCATGGCTGGTTCACAGCTGTGACCCTGGACATCTAGAATCATGAGACTCCTCTAAACATAGCTTGTTTTCCAAATCAAAGCCTTTCCTGAATGGAGCACTCATGGTCTCCTCCCACAAAGACTTACTGGCAGGCACTTGTGCGGCTGAGTTATATCCCCAGCCCACCACAAAGACTTACTGGGAAGCTGCCATGGACCAGACAAGGCTCTAGGGTCTGGATACACCACTAATGGCCCCGGTCCTTGAGAACTGACATTCTAATGGAGAGACACGAAGCAAGGAGCAAAAAGAGAAACCAAAAAGAAATGCTGAGTCAGAAGTGTGACCCCCTGTGGGACTGATATTCACCAAATCCCTTCCAAGCAGTGGTTGAGGGGCTCCAGAGCCTGTGAGGAAATGCAAAAGACACCAAGGGTGGGTACAGAGCCAGCCCTGCCCCTCAAGCCTGTCCTGACCAGGACACCAGGGAGGGATGGAGGGAGAGCCATAACCCAGGAACAGAGTGCCCACCTGGGCACCTTGGATGGGTCACTTCCCATCCTGGGGACAGCCTGGGCACCAGCCTCAAAGCTATGGTACCCCGACCCATGGAGGTCACCACACCACACAGGACCCTTACACAGCCCCATCTCCAGCCCCAGGAAATAAGCCCCAGAATTCTCCCAAATGGATCCATGCCATGATTCTGTGAGAGTGTGTCCCTGGTGGCATGCAAGGACACACACACCACATACCCATGCTCATACCAACACACATCAATGTATACACACATGTGATATACATACCACACACA